CTTCAACCGGAGCTGCATGCAAATACACATTCTGAAATATTTACAAGGCATATTATTTCCCCAAAGATCACCGCTTCTTTTCAAATCCGGTACATTTCTGCTATGTAAACAAACACTCATTCATAATGCAAAGAGTGTACGGTTTCCTCATTGATGCTCCGTAGCCGTCTTCCTACGCTACATTCTTTCATGTGAAAAATCCATGTCTCTGAGGGAAGATCCCATACATTTTGCACTGTGTTTACACATGCATGCGTAGGGCTCGATCCTATACATTTGGGCCCATATGCGCAAACAAAGATGGAATATGCCTGCAGAAGCTGTTTTAATCCCCTGAAATGCAAAACGTTCATAGAATCCTAGAGTTGGAAGAGACCTCCTGGGCCATCATCCAGTCCAACCCCATTCTGCCAAGATGCAGGAAAATCGCATTCAGAGCACCCCTGACAGATGGCCATCCAGCCTCTGCTTCAAAGCCTCCAAAGAAAGAGCCTTCACCACACTCCCTCTGGGGCAGAGAGAGAGAGTTCCACTGTGGAACAGCTCTTCCAGTCAGGAAGTTCTTCCTCATGTTCAGGTGGAATCTCCTTTCCTGTAGTTTGGAGCCATTGTTCCATTGTGTCCTAGTCTCCAGGGAAGCAGAAAGGAAGCCTCCTCCCTCCTCCCTAGGACTTCTCCTCACATGTTTATCCATAGCCCTCATCATGTCATCTCTCAGCCTTCTCTTCTTCAGGCTAAACATGCCCAGATCTTTGAGCTCATACGGCTTGTTCTCCAGACCCTAGATGCTTAGGGTCACCCAGCTTGTAACTCGATTGAAACGAGATCTGATGAGTCTGGCATGACTTGTTTTTGATCAATCCATGTTGACTCTTAGCGATGACCGCATTTCTTTCTAAGTGTTTGCAGACCACTTCCTTAACAATCTTTTCCAGAATCTTGCCTGGTATCGACGTGAGGCTGACCGGACATGGGTCATTGTTTGGGTCATCCTTTTTTCCCCTCTTGAAGATTGGGACCACATTGGCCCTCCTCCAGTCTGCTGGAACTTCTCCCGTTCTCCAAGAACTCTCAAAGATGATTGCCAATGGTTCCGAGATGACTTCCGCAAATTCCTTCAATACTCTTCTAGGGTGTAGTTGATCTGGCCCTGAAAGGGGACTGGAACTTGTTTAGAGCGGCCAGGTATTCCTGAACGACTTGTTTCCCAATTTGGGGTTGGATGTCCTCTAATCCCTCACCCACTCCATCTTGCTGAGATTGAAGATGACATTTTTTGTGAGAAGACTGAGGCAAAGAAGGCATTAAGTAGTTCTGCCTTTTCCCTACCCGCTGTCAGCATTGCCCCATCTTCTCCTCGAAAAGGCCCTATCGCCTCCTTGTTCTTTCTTTTTCTACTGATATAAGAAAAGAAGGCCTTTTTATTGTTTTTAATGTCCCTGGCAAGCCTGAGCTCATTTTGTGCTTTAGCCTTGCGGACCTTTTCCCTACAGGAGTTGGCTATTTGTTTGAATTCTTCTTTGGTGATTTCTCCTTTTTTCCATTTCTTGTGCATGTCTCTTTTGAGTCTTAGCACAGTTAGAAGTTCTTTGGACATAAATTCTGGGTTCAATCTTCTTTCTTGAAGATTGGGACCACATTTGCCTTCCTCCAATCTGCTGGACTTCTCCCGTTCTCCAAGAACTCTCAAAGATGATTGCCAATGGTTCTGAGATGACTTCCGCTAGTTCCTTCAATATTCTTGGGTGTAGTTGATCTGGCCCCGGGGACTTGAATTCATTTAGAGCGGCCAGGTATTCCTGGAAGACTTGTTTCCCAGTTTGGGGTTGGATGTCCTCTAATCTCTCATCCACTCTATCTTGCTGAGGTTGAAGATGACTTCCTTTTTCCCCCTCCTCCAAACTGCTGGAACATCTCCCATTCTCCAAGAACTCTCCAAGATGATTCCAAAAGAAACCACTGGTACATTCAGATGGTTAAGATATGCAATTGTTTGTACATTATTTTTTTCAGTTGAGTTGACCTTTATGAAGAGGGGGAGTGGCAATATTCTAAGTAAAGCAGGTAACGGTGTTTCCGTTGCTATTAAAAAGCAATGGCCACGTTAAGTATGAATCACTCCAGCAGAACAAATCCATTTGAAAATGACTGTGGGCCAAAATCTATTAATAACCCAGGCATATTTACCAGTCCACAAATAGAACTGAGCGGGCTGATCAATAGGACTATCTTTATCTCTGTCAAGTTTAAACTTAGCCAAAAGCCTTTTTGAAACATCAATTGTGGGAGGTTTTTGCAAACCATAAAAAGAAGGCTCTTCCAGAGCAGCCAGGTTTCAGAAACCTGATGCACGGAAAGCCCAAAGAACCGTTTCCTAGAAAAAAGGTTAGAAAATAGAGGATTTGGGGAACATAACGGTCAAAAGTCCAAATCCACAGATCTGAATGGAGAGAAGGACCTGGTCGCTATGGAGCGACCCAACACCCTCTTGGGATGACACATCTCACAGATTCAATTGAAGGGCTATTATATATTTGAACAAACTCCAAGAGGAGCTTCTAAGAATGCTTTTTTGACATTGGCTGATGAATATTCCCAATTTCCTCTTTTTGGGTGACTTTTCCATACCCTTTCCCCAGGCCCCGCCCACTCTCCCCTCGTGCGTATATGTAGCCGGTGAGCGGCGCCACCGCCTCAGTTCTTTCTCCGTGGAAGCAGCCAGAAAAACCGAGGCATGAGAAACAGCGGGGAGGATGGGTGGGGATGTGCATATTCACAGGTGATCACGATGGGAAAATATAGGTTGCTCTTGGGAGAGTGGGCGGGGCCAACCACCAAAGTTTTTCAATTCTATCTAGAAGGTTCCAAAGCTGTGGAAGGAAACCAAACCATTTGCAACAGGCCTATGGAATCCTGGGATTTGTAGTTTTCTGTGGCGTCAGAGCTCTCAGGCATGGAAGGATAACTATCGCACAAAATCACAAAACCCAGAATTCCCTAGCGCTGTGTCATGGCGGTTAATATGATGTCGAACAAGAGAACCTTTTAAGGGAGGTCTCAAACTCAACTATGGTTCAAGTAGATGGAGGAGCAGGTCAACAATGGCAACACCTGGCATGAAATAATAATGAAGGGGGGAAGTTGTAACTCTCGTGAAGTCATGGTAACAGCTATTCTTCAATATAAATATACCGTATATACCTGACTATAAGCCTGAAAAATCTTCCCTTGGCTTATATTCCGGTGAGGGTCCTGGTGGGAATGTGTAGGACTGAAAGAAGAGCCCTCTCCCCATGCCTTCCCATCAGGCCCCTCACCTCTCCACTTCCCTTGCCTCCTGGACCCATTATTTTTCTCCAAGACTGGAGGAGAGCAAGGCCGTGGACAAACTCCATCATTATTATTGAGACTGGGGGGCCATCTGTCAGGGGTGCTTTGTTTGTGCTTTTGCTCCATGAAGACAGAACGGGGTTGGACTAGATGACCCTTGGAGCCTCTTCCAACCCTTTATTAGTATTAATGTTATTGTTGTTTTCGTTGTTATTATTGAGGTTGGGTGGCCATCTGTCAGGGGTGCTTTGTTTGTGCTTTGGCTGCATGAAGACAGAAGGGAGTTAGACTAGATGACCCTTGGAGCCTCTTCCAACCCTTTATTAGTATTCATGTTGTTGTTATTGTTGTTATTATTATTAATATTGAGACTGAGTGGCCATCTGTTGGGGTGCTTTGACTGTGCTTTGGCTGCATGAAGACAGAAGGGGGTTGGACTAGATGACCCTTGAGGCCTCTTCCAACCCTTTATTAGTATTAATGTTGTTGTTATTGTTGTTATTATTATTAATATTGAGACTGAGTGGCCATTTGTTGGGGTGCTTTGACTGTGCTTTGGCTGCATGAAGACAGAAGGGGGTTGGACTAGATGACCCTTGAGGCCTCTTCCAACCCCTTATTAGTATTAATGTTGTTGTTATTGTTGTTGTTGTTGTTATTGAGGCTGGGTGGAAATCTGTCAATGTGCTTTTGCTGTATGAAGGCAGAAGGGAGTTGGACTAGATGACCCTTGGAGCCTCTTCCAACTCTTTATTAGTATTAATGTTGTTGTTGTTGTTGTTGTTGTTGTTGTTGTTGTTATTAATATTGAGACCCAATGGCCATCCATCAGGGGTGCTTTGATTGTGCTTTGGCTGCATGAAGGCAGAAGGGGGTTGGACTAGATGGCCCTTGGGGCCTCTTTCAACCCCTTATTAGTATTCATGTTATTGTTATTGTTGTTGTTGTTATTAAAATTGAGACTGAGTGGCCATCCATCAGGGGTGCTTTGATTGTGCTTTGGCTGCATGAAGGCAGAAGGGGGTTGGACTAGATGACCCTTGAGGCCTCTTCCAACTTTTTATTAGTATTGTTGTTGTTGTTGTTGACTGTGGAGCAGAAGAGACAACTCTGCACCTGTCTGCTTGTCCACTCTACCCTGCCTCATGTACAGAGGAAGAATTGTTGGAGGCTACAGACAATGCCGTTGCTGTTGCCCGTTTTTGGTCAAAAGACATTTAGCCGCCTGCACACCTTCTATTTTATCAGTTTTGTACTAATTGATGCAATGCTTTTGATACGAAACAAACAAATAAATCTGCCCAATGTCATCCTCAAACAATTATTCACAGCTAAACTGTAAATCTCTGACCAAGATCCCCTTTGACGTTTGCCAAACGGTGGAATTACGATCCTTTCCTTCCACCCACTGCATTTCAATTTTATGAATATTGCAAGTTACCTAACACACGCATTACCACCTCTAACGGGTCTCATTTATAAGAGCAGCGTCCATCAATTATGAATTTTCCGTGACATTAATAAAAGAACTAATTACGACGACTTCTGAGATGAAGATGCCTTGGACTAATCATTAATGAGGCCGAGACGATACTCCTGACAAACGTGGCAAGTCCTAATTACGGGTGAAACGAGAGGACGAAAACCATCACAGGGAAGAAGGCATTCACCTGATGAGTTCCACCGTCTCCGAGTACATGGTGTAGGGAGACTTCGCTTCCAAGGGGTCGCGCTCCATGGCATTCCCGCACTCGATGAAGGAAAGGGCCGCGTCCGCATAATTCACCGCTTTGCCAAACTTTTCCAGCTGGGGAAAAAGAAAAGAAAACAGGGAATATGCTTAAGAGAATGATAAATATTGATTCCAGGACAGGGCACCGTGAATTAAGGTCAACCCAATGGTCAGTTATGGCTCGATCATGCCTTGCTTGCTTGACCAATCTACTTGACTGCCAGTTCATGGCCATCTTGCACCAAAAAAGTGATCCATGTGTGCAACTGATGTTGAGATACCTTCTATATAAATAAAAATGTAATGCTCGTTTGTGGGATTAACATAACTCAAAAACCACTGGATGAACTGACACCAAATTTGGGCACTATACCCCTAACAGACCAATAACACAGCAATGCGGTGCAAGGGATGGCTAGTATTCAGTAGAAAGGGAGTGTAGCACTGCCAAGACTTAGATTCTTCGGTTCCCTCCAGTTACCGCCCAGTTTCGAACCCCTCATTCCTGGGCAAGGGGATGGAGAGGGCAGCAGCGGAGCAGTTGCAGAAATTCCTAGACAACACGGCCGGACGAGATCCCTTCCAGTCCGGCTTCCGTGTGGGGCACGGGACAGAGACTGTGCTGGTCTCCATCACGGATCGCCTTCGATGCCAGCTTGACCAGGGCAGGTCAGCGCTGCTTGTGTTATTGGATCTCACAGCAGCATTGGACACAGTCAACCACCATCTTTGGACCCACTGCCTTGCTGTTGCTGGAATCAGGGGGAGAGCTTTAAAGTGGCTCCCCTCCTTCCTTCACAACCGTGGACAGCGAGTGGAGAGGGGAGGCCTGGTCTCTGAGAGGTCCCCCCTCTCTCTCTTGTGGGGTTCCTCCTCAGGGGGCCATTCTCTCCCCCTCTCTTGTTTAACATCTCTATGCGACCACTTGCTCAGCTGGTTCAAGGTTTTGGGCTGGAGTGTGCCCAGTACGCGGATGACACTCAGCTGGTGCTGAAGATGGAAGGCCGTCCGGACTCTGGACCCGATTGTTTCCCTCAGTGCCTCGAGGCCGTGACTGGATGGCTGCGTGCCAGCAGGTTGAGGGTGTCGGACACCGCCGATACCTGAGCCTCAAGCGTAAGCGATGAATCCAGGAGGACACCCAAACTGCAGACCTGTGGCTTCAGGGGGAGTGTAACCCCGTCCAGCACAGGTTGCCACCATATACCCCGGTCTGGTTTACGATCGACCAGGAGGACCTCTGTCTTGTCGGGATTGATCTTCAGCTTGTTCCTCCTCATCCAGGTAGACACAGCGGCCAGGTACTCATCCAGCACTCGAGGGGGCTCCTTGGAGTTAGGTGGAAAAAAGTAGTAGAGTTGCGTGTCATCCTCAGGGGGCCATTCTCTCCCCTCTCTTGTTGAACATCTCTATGCGCCCACTTGCTCAGCTGATCCGAGGTTTTGGGCTGGAGTGTGACCAGTACGCCGATGACACTCAGCTGGTGCTGAAGACGGAAGGCCGACCGGACTCTGTACCCGATTGTTTCCATCAGTGCCTCATTGAGGCCGTGACTGAATGGCTGCGTGCCAGCAGGTTGAGGGTGAATCCAGCAAAGACGGAGATCCTATGGCTGGGTCGACCGGGCAGTGGGGATGTCCAGCTGCCTACCCTGGATGGCGAGGCGCTACGCCCGTCCTCGTTGGTCAAGAGCCTGGGAGTCCTTTTGGACCCTTTGCTGACGATGGAGGGCCAGGTCTCTCTCCACCGTGAGCAGAACCGCCTTCTTTCTTCCACCTGCGGCAGGCTAGACGGCTGGCCCCCTCCCTGTCCAGGGACAACCTTGCTACGGTGATCCAGGCCACGGTCATCTCCAGACTGGACTACTGTAACACCCTCTACATTGGCCTTCCTCTGGCGGTGATGCCACATCACCCCAATCTGACTGCAGCTGCATTGGTTACCCATTGAGCACCGGAACACTCTCAAAGGGATGGGACTCACCTTGAAGGCCTTGCATGGTCTGGGGCTGATGTCCCTGAGGGACCGCCTCACCCCCTCCCAACCCCACTACCACACAATAAATGCAAAGGCTTGCATAACATCACCCTGAGATTTGGCCCCATGTGGTAAAAGTAGCTGAGAAAGAAGAGCAAGGGAGAAGGTTTCTATTGACATCAGACAAGGAAATGGGGAAAATGATGACCAAGTTCTCAGCAAGGGTCAAGCGAGGGCTGTCCTTTGTCATGAAGGATGCGCAAGAGGCCTGCGCTGGCCATCCCGCACTGCATCAAGTTGCTAAACCGTGCCTGTCATGGCATTCCAGGAAAAGCACAGGGGACATCAAACAACACGTGACAGGAAAGACATGCCTGCAGGCAAGAACATGATGTGTGGTGCCGTGTTGCGTTAGTGCCGGATGAGAAACAGCCTCAATTCTGCCGGCCTCAGACAACGGTAACAAGATGGAAGACGTGTCAACAGTCCAAGTGAATCAGGCGGTGAGTTGGGGGAATGGGCCGGCAGGCCGTGGGTGGGCAGTGCGGAGACTTTCCCTGAGAAGACCGGGAGCAACAAAGAGGCAACGGACCACCGGCCAACCCCCCTCCAATGCCAGAAATACAGAAATGGTGCAACATTAGAAAATGTTGACGATTTCCTGTCCCTTGGCAGCCACCTCTCCAGAAAGTCAACATTGACATTGAAATACAACACCGCCTGAGCTCTGCGAGTGCAGCATTTTCCCAAATGAAGCAGAGAGTGTTTGAGGACCGGGACATCCGTAGGGAGACCAAGGGGCTTGTTTATAGAGCTACTGTCCTCCCAACCCTGCTATACGCCTGCGAGACGTGGAAAGTCTACAGATGTCAACATTGACACTGAAATACAACACCACCTGAGCTCTGCAAGTGCAGCATTATTCCAAATGAAGCAGTGTTTGAGGACCGGGACAAGGTGCTTGTTTAGAAAGCTATTGTCCTCTCAACCATGCTATATACCTGTGAGACGTGGACAGTCTACAGACGTCAACATTGACATTGAAATACAACACCGCCTGAGCTCTGCGAGTGCAGCATTTTTCCGAATGTAGAGAGAGTGTTTGAGGACCAGGACATCCGTAAGGATACAAGATGCTTGTTTATAAAGCTATTCTCCTCCCAACCCTGCTATATGCCTGCGAGACATGGACTGTCTACAGACGTCACATGCAACTCCTGGAACGATTCCATCAGCGTTGCCTCCAAAAAATCCTGCAAATGTCTTGGGAAGACAAGCGGACAAATGTCAGCGTGCTGGAAGAAGCAAAGACCACCAGCACTGAAGCGATGGTCCTTCGCCATCAACTCCACTGGACTGGCCACGTTGTCCAGATGCCTGACCACTGTCTCCCAAAGCAGTTGCTCTATTCCGAACTCAAGAATGGAAAACGGAATGTTGGAGGACAGGAAAAGAGATTCAAAGATGGGCTCAAAGCCAACCTTAAAAACTCTGGCATAGACAGTGGGAAACCCTGGCCCTTGAGCGCTCCAGCTGGAAGTCAGCTGTGACCAGCAGTGCTGCAGAATTTGAAGAGGCACGAATGGAAGGTGAAAGAGAGAAACGTGCCAAGAGGAAGAAGGCGCGTCAAGCCGACCGAGACTGCCTTCCACCTGAAAGCCAATGCCCTCACTGCGGAAGAAGATGCAGCCACCTACAAACCCACCGCCAGGACACCTAACTTGGAGGACCCATCATCCTCAGACTATGAGGGATCACCTAAGTAAGTAAGTAAGTAAGGATGAGAAACGGCCTCAATTCTGCCGGCCTCAGACAAAGGTAACAAGATGGCAGACGTGTCAACAGTCCAGTGAATCAGGCGATGAGTTGGGGAAATGGGCTGGCAGGCCGTAGGTGGGCAGTGTGGAGACTTTCCCTGAGAAGACTGGTGGCAACAACAAGGCAACGGACCACTGCGTCGGGAACGTGCCTCTTCCTGGAGAGGTCAATCAGCTACAGAAGGTGTTGACAGGTTGCTTCTCCCAGCCTTCTTGATGGATGGCATGGTCAATGAGCCCGTGAGCCAGGCGTCAGCAATCATCATCAGCCCATCTCTTGACAGAGACAACTCAAGAGGGATGAATCCCCCATCGATGATGAGCAGAGCAGATCAAAAAGATCATGTCTCCATCACTGAGCTTCTACTTCACAAGCAGAATGGAGAGGGCATGAAACTGGGAGAAAACTTTGGTTGCTCCATGTTCGGGGCTGTCCTAGGGCAGTTCAAGGAAAGGTCAGATTCCCTTTGGACCTGTCCAACTTCTCCAGACATGGTGTAGGTCAAGCTATAGGAGTTGATGCCAACGGGATGGAACCAGCCCTTCTCGCCACGCATGCCAATACTCTTGCGCTACTAGCGCCAAGGTCTGCTTTCAACAGTAAATCCAACTTCGAACTTTCTGACTGTTTCTACAGCCAGAAGATATCGGTAGGTCTAGGCCTGGGCAATCCATGGTTCTAAATGCTTCTAAAGTATTTACAAAACTAAAGTTCTGGTGGCGAAAATTTCAGAACTCTAACAAAACTTTCAAAATTTAATTATTATTTCATTATTGGTGATTTTTATGATAGAACCAATTAGGAACTGCCATTTATAATGAAACTTTGAGAGTTTTGTTAGAGTTCTCAAATTTTCACCACCAGAACTTTAGTTTTGTAAGTACTTTAGAATGATTTAGAGCAGTGGTTCTCAACCTTTCTAACACCGGGACCCCTAAATATAGTTACTCATGTTGTGGTAACAAAACTTTGAGAGTTTTGTTAAGAGTTCTGAAATTTTCACCACCAGAACTTTAGTTTTGTAAGTACTTTAGAACCATTTAGAGCAGTGGTTCTCAACCTTTCTAACACCGGGACCCCTAAATATGGTTCCTTATGTTGTGGTGACCCCCAACCATGTTGTGGTGACCTCCAACCTCATCTGCCTCGCGCTCTCAGATGGCGAGAGCGCGAGGCAAGCGAGGCAGGCTTTGCGTGAGGCCAGGCCTTGTGCGGAGGACCCCTCACCTGCCCCGCGCCCGCGAGGCAGGCAAGGCCGGCTTTGCACAAGGCCAGGCCTCACGTGAAGGAGCCCTTGCTTGGCCCATGCCCTTGGGGCAGGGCCAACAGAGGTGGCCTCGCGACCCCTCCGAAATGGCCAGGCAACCCTCCTGGTGGTCGTGACCCCCAGGTTGAGAACACTGATTTAGAGCCATGGATTGACCAGGCCTAGCACTCTGCATAATTGAGCAGACAATGGGTGGATCCTGTTAATGAATGGCACTGCATGCCAATAATTAGTGTAATTAATTGCACACTTTAATATGGCATGCAAATTAGAACCGGCCCTCTGGCTTATCGTGGGACCTCTGCAAACGGCACTGCAGTGCTGCACAAGCGGCCTGATCAGGCACAGAAAAATTGGAATTTTGGGGTACTTACCAGGGCGTCTGCTTTGTGCTTCAGCTTTTTGGCCTCTTGCATGTAGTAATCTGCATTGTGAAGCCTAAGGAGACAACAACAACAACAACAACAGGGACAGCAATGAGCAGAAGCATCTGCAGAGGAGATTTCCGTCTCTGCGCTGGTCTATTTGGGGAAGGCACATTTAGCTTCGCTTGGAGCCTTACCTTTGACTTATTGCATCCTTGCAAATTCCCTTCCTTCTTTAGACCTCAGTGTTGTGCATATCACTCTCTGAAATTTTTCATAAGGGAAAGGTAAAGGTTTTCCCATGACGTTAAGTCCAGTCTCTGGGAATATGAAGCCTTTTTTTACAGCTCAAGAATCATCACCATCTTGAAGCCAGGCAAAGACCATAATGATCCAAAAAGCTACAGACCAACCTCCCTGTTGTGCCACCTCTACAAAGTTCTGGAGAGACTTATTTTGCATAGAATTACAGAAAAAATAGACCCCTGTCTGACCCCACAACAAGCTGGCTTCAGGAAAGGCAAAAGCTGCACATCGCAAGTGCTGAACCTGACTCAGCACATAGAAGATGGCTTTGAAAGGCAGCAGATCACAGGAGCTGTCTTCAGAGACCTGTCAGCAGCCTATGAGACTGTCAACCACCGCTGCCTCCTCCTGAGAAAAATGTATAGTATCACAAAGGACGACCACCTCACCCGCCTCATAGGAAACCTGCTACAAAACAGGAGCTTTTTTGTTGAGTTCCAGGGCCAGAGAAGCAGATGGCGGAAACAGAAGAATGGCCTGCCTCAGGGGAGCGTGCTTGCTCCATCCATGTTCAACATCTACACAAATGACCAGCCACTGCCAGAAGGGACAGAGAGCTTCATCTATGCTGATGATCGTGCCATCACCGCTCAAGCAGGGAGCTTTGAGATGGTAGAACAGAAGCTCTCCGAAGCTCTAGGTGCTCTTACTGCCTATTACAGGGGAAACCAGCTGATCCCTAACCCATCTAAAACACAGACATGTCCTTTCCACCTTAAGAACAGTGAAGTATCCCGAGCTCTGAGGATTATTACCTGGGAAGGAAGGAATCCCACTGGAGCATTGCAGCGCACCCAAATACATGGGAGGAGTCACTCTGGACCGTGCTCTGACCTACAAGAAGCACTGCCTGAACATCAAGCAAAAAGTGGGTGCCAGAAACAATATCATGGGAAAGCTGACTGGCACAACCTGGGGATCACAACCAGTCATAGTGAAGACTGTGCTGTGCTACTCTGCTGCTGAGTATGCATGCCCAGTGTGGAACACATCTCACTACGCTCAAACAGTGGACGTGGCTCTTAATGAGACATGCCGCATCATCATGGGGTGTCTGCGCCCTACACCACTGGGGAAATTACACTGCTTATTGCACCACCTGACATCCGCCGGGAAGTGGCAGCCAATAGTGAAACGACCAAGGCAGAGACATCTCCAGCTCATCCCCTGTTTGGGTATCAGCCAGCACGTCAACGACTTAAATCAAGAAATAGTTTTCTAAGATCTATGGAGACACTCACTGGAATACCCCAGCAAGCGAGAGTCCAAAAGTGGCAGGCTCAAAACCAGAATCTGATACCAAATGAGAGACTCCCCACTGGGCAGACAGGAAACTGGGTGACTTGGAAGGCGCTGAACAGACGGCGCTCTGGCACCACGAGATGCAGAGCCAACCTTCAGAAATGGGGCTACAAAGTTGAATCCTCAACATGCGAGTGTGGAGAAGAGCAAACCACTGACTACCTGATGCAATGCACCCTGAGCCCAGCCACATGATGCACAAGGGAGGACCTTCTTGAGGCAACACCAGAGGCACTCCAAGTGGCCAGAGACTGGTCAAAGGACATTTAATCAACTACCAAACTCACAAATTTTGTATTTTGTCTGTTTGTTTGCTTTGTTCTGTTAGAAATGTAATACAACTGTTTGGTTCCCTGACACGATAAATAAATAAAATCCAAACGGATGTTGCGCAATGTTAATTCTTCCTGGGCAATTCAAAGTCTGGAGAAGGCCTGACTGCACGGGTTGGATCATGCTACCTACATGTCATCGAATGTGATTTTGGGTCTTCGTGGCTCAGGATTCCCATTGGCGAAGGCAGGGGCGGTCGACCAGATGTCGTTGTCGAGATGGCTGGTGTCGAGCAGCAGAGGGTTTGGGGCCCGGCCGAGGGAGTCTTCCTCCTGCGGAAAATGGAATTAATTAGCAGCTTCGGCTTTCACACTAATGATACCTTTGCACGTCACGTGGCACCAATGTGTGGACCCGGAATTAAAAATCCAGGCGCATCGTTTGCATCTTGTGGACTTGGTGTCAGAAGTCAAGCTCAGTAGATTAATTAAGCGCAAGTAGCCGCCTATTGCTCACACGCACAGCTTCATTAACACCCACCTCCCCAAAGTTGTCATGTCAGCATGGGGGCCTGGGAGCATCGCTGGCTTGTTAAAATCATGAACATGTAAGGAGGAGAACAGCAAGGGAACATGCACAGTATCCGGTGGTGAGGACAAGAGAAGGGAATCAGCGGGGAACACCAGCGGAGGGACTGATCTACAGCATCATCATCATCATCATCATAATAATAATAATAATAACAACAACAACAGAGTAAAATAATAAATAACCTTCACTCGAGATGGACTTTTTCTGCCTAAAAAAAAGGGCTGAAAAACTAGACTTATCCTCGAGTATATCTATCTATATATATAAGAACCTTAAGGTCGTAATTAGGCGGTCAAAAACGGCTAAACCACCGGATGAAATCTCACCACATTTGCACTGCTAATACCTCTTTCCCCAAGGTATGACCAACAACCCAAAACGATGAGGAAGGACTCCATTTCCCAGCTTCCCCCGCGCCCAAATCTCCCTGCGCATGCGCACTGCTGTCTGCCTGCCTCCCTCTACATGAGCCCAGCCTGAGAAAGCCCACCAGACCGTTGTAAGCACTCATGCTCGGGGAGGGCATGGGAGGTGCGGGGGGCCGCCGAGGGCAACTAAAACGACACGAAACAGGAGGGAGAGAAAGAGGGAAAGAAGGAGGGAAGGAGAGAAAGAAGGAAAGAAAGAAAGATAGAGAAGGAAGGAGAGAAAGAGGGAAAGGAGGGAAGGAAAGAAAGAAGGGTAGAGAAGAAAGGAAGGGGAAGAAAGAAGGAAAGAAAGAAGGGTAGAGAAGGAAGGAAGGGAGAGAGGGAAAGAAGGAGAGAAGGAAAGAAAGAAGAAAGGAAAGAGAAGGAAGGAAAGAAGGGAAAGAAGGAGAGAAAGAAAAAAAGATAGAGAAGAAAGGAGGGAGAGAAAGAGGGAAAGAAGGAGGGAAGGAAAGAAAGAAAGGGTAGAGAAGGAAGGAAGGGGAGAGGAGGGAAAGAAGGAGAGAAGGAAAGAAAGAAAGGAAGATAGAGAAGGAAGGAAAGAGAGGAGGAGGGAAAGAAGGAGAGAAGGAAAGAAAGAAAGGTAGAGAAGAAAGGAGGGAGAGAAAGAGGGAAAGAAGGAGGGAAGGAAAGAAAGAAAGAAGGAAAGAAAGAAAGAAAGAAAGCAGGGTAGAGAAGGAAGGAAGGGAAGAGGAGGGAAAGAAGGAGAGAAGGAAAGAAAGAAAGGTAGAGAAGGAAGGAAAGAGAGAAGGAAATAAAAAAGTGAAAGAAGGGAGGAAGGAGAGAAGGAACGAAAGAGGGAAGGAAGGAAGGAAGGAAAGAGACAAGGAAGGATGAAACCAAACAGCAAAGGAAGCGAGAAAAGAAACCGGTAGAGAAGGAAGAAAGAAGAAGAGAAAGAAAAAGAGGGAAAGAAGGATAGAGGGAGGGAAGGAAGGAGAGAGAAAAAGAAGGAGGAGAAAGAGGGAGGGAAGGTTTGCCACAGCAACGCGTGGCGGGTACAGCTAGTATAAATAAAAAATGTCATGTTCGTTTATGGGATTGACATAACTCAAAAACCACTGCACAAATCGACACCAAGTGTAGACACTATACCCCTAAGAGACCAATGAGTGACCATCACTCATAACCCACCCCCCAAAAGTGGAAATGACTGAAAAACCCAAATATGCTAAATAAAACTGAAAGAAGGAAGGAAAGAGAGAGGGAAGGAAGGAGAGAGGAATGAAAGGGAGAAAGAAGGAAGGAAGGAAGGAAGGAAGGAAGGAAGGAAAGAAGGAAGGAAGGAAGAGAGAGGAAAGAAAGGAGAAAGAAGGAGGGAAGGAAGGAAGAAGAGAAAGAGGAAGAAGAAGGAGGAAGGAGAGAAGGGGAAAAAGAAGGAGGAAGGAAAGGGAGAAGGAGGAGAAAGAGGGAAGGAAGGAAGGAAGGAAAGAGACAAGGTAAGATGGAACCAAAGAGCAAAGGAAGCGAGGAAAGAAACAGGTAGAGAAGGAAGAAAGAAGAAGGAAATGAAGAAAGGAAAGAAAAAGAGGGAAGGAAGGAGAGATAGAAAGAAGGAGAGAAAGAGGGAGGGAAGGTTGGCCACAGCAACACCTGGCGGGTACTGCTAGTTGCTCATAAAAACACGGAAAAACACAGCAAAAGAGACTTAAAAAGCCAAATATATAAAAAATACATCACAACGCATGCGTAAAACCACAAATATATACAGTGGGATTAACATAACTCAAAAACCAGTGGACGAATTGACACCAAATTTGGACACAAGACACCTCTCAGGCCAACGAGTGACCGTCACTCATAAAAACACTGAAAATCACAGTGGACGAGAATTAAAAATCAAAGTAATAAAAAATACATTATACCGCATGCGCAAAAGCACATATATACACATATACATAAACACACAAAACACAGACGGAGCCACAGCAATGCGTGGCAGGGGAGGGCTAGCCTTTAGATAGCTTACACAATTTCCCTTTGCGCCGGAAGAGGACTTGTTGTCACTTTTCCTGTGTTTGGAGCAGGCGCTGGCTTGCGGTACGGTGGGCAGGGCGCTCTCTGGGCCGAAGAGGCTGCTGTCGTGGCTGTTCTGCCGTGGCGCGGCCTCGTCCAGCAGAGGAGACAAGGGGGGCGGAAAGAGCTTCTCCTCCCTTTTCTTCGTCACTTTCTTCACGGGATTGTTGCTGCCAAGAAACAAAAACAACAACAACAGGGAGAGTTATCATCAAGAGGACGGCCTTTTCGTGGTTGGCCACTAGGGGCGGGTGGGAGTTGGGGCTGATAGAGACAGAAGGTTTGGACGGGAAACCTTTAGAACTGTTTTTGAGGATTGTGGGAAGAAGGAATAAACCCCTGGTCTCCAGCGTTTGGTTGTGGCGAGATAGATTTTAACTCCAAGAGTCTGCAGGAAATAGCACGGCCCTCTAGATAATATTAATATTAATAAGTCATCAGTTGCGGACCCCTCCCCGCAGTATCAACTGCTGCTCTGGGCCAGAGTGAAGAGTGAGGGGGCCAGGGACAGTCCCATATTGTCTCTTGCATATGTCATCACTTGGGGACCCCTTCCCCTAGGACCAACTGGGTCAGAGTGAAGAGAGAGGGGGCCAGGGGATGGTTCCACCTTGTCTCCTGCATATGTCATCAGTTGGGGACCCTTTCCCCCAGCACCAACTGCCACTCTGGGCCAGAGTGAAGAGTGAGGGGGCCAGGGGAGAGTTCCACCTTGTCTCCTGCATATGTCATCAGTTGGGGACCCCTCCCCCCAGCACCAACTGCCACTCTGGGCCAGAGTGAAGAGTGAGGGGGCCAGGGGACAGTTCCACCTTGTCTCCTGCATATGTCATCAGTTGGGGACCCCTCCCCCCAGCACCAACTGCCACTCTGGGCCAGAGTGAAGAGAGGGGGCCAGGGGACAGTTCCATCTTGTCTCCTGCATATGTCATCAGTTGGGGACCCCTTCCCCCAGCACCAACTGCCGCTCTGGGCCAGAGTGAAGAGAGGGGGGGCCAGGGGACAGTTCCATCTTGTCTCCTGCATATGTCATCAGTTGGGGACCCTTTCCCCCAGCACCAACTGCCGCTCTGGGCCAGAGTGAAGAGAGAGGGGGCCAGGGGACAGTTCCACCTTGTCTCCTGCATATGTCATCAGTTGGGGACCCCTTCCCCCAGCACCAACTGCCACTCTGGGCCAGAGTGAAGAGTGAGGGGGCCAGGGGACAGTTCCACCTTGTCTCCTGCATATGTCATCTGCTGGGGACCCTTTCCCCCAGCACCAACTGCCGCTCTGGGCCACAGTGAAGAGAGAGGGGGCCAGGGGATGGTTCCACCTTGTCTCCTGCATATGTCATCGGTTGGGGACCCCTTCCCCCGCACCAACTGCTGCTCTGGGCCAGAGTGAAGAGAGAGGGGGCCAGGGGACAGTTCCACCTTGTCTCCTGCATATGTCATCAGCTGGGGACCCTTTCCCCCAGCACCAACTGCCGCTCTGGGCCACAGTGAAGAGAGAGGGGGCCAGGGGATGGTTCCACCTTGTCTCCTGCATATGTCATCAGTTGGGGACCCCTTCCCCCAGCACCAACTGCCACTCTGGGCCAGAGTGAAGAGTGAGGGGGCCAGGGGACAGTTCCACCTTGTCTCCTGCATATGTCATCTGCTGGGGACCCTTTCCCCCAGCACCAACTGCCGCTCTGGGCCACAGTGAAGAGAGAGGGGGCCAGGGGATGGTTCCACCTTGTCTCCTGCATATGTCATCGGTTGGGGACCCCTCCCCCAGCACCAACTGCTGCTCTGGGCCAGAGTGAAGAGAGAGGGGGCCAGGGGACAGTTCCATCTTGTCTCCTGCATATGCCATCAGTTGGGGACCCCTCCCCCCAGCACCAACTGCCACTCTGGGCCAGAGTGAAGAGAGAGGGGGCCAGGGGACAGTTCCATCTTGTCTCCTGCATATGTCATCAGTTGGGGACCCCTCCCCCAGCACCAACTGCCACTCTGGGCCAGAGTGAAGAGTGAGGGGGCCAGGGGACAGTTCCACCTTGTCTCCTGCATATGTCATCAGTTGGGGACCCCTCCCCCCAGCACCAACTGCCACTCTGGGCCAGAGTGAAGAGTGAGGGGGCCAGGGGACAGTTCCACCTTGTCTCCTGCATATGTCATCAGTTGGGGACCCCTCCCCCCAGCACCAACCACTGCTCTGGGCCAGAGTGAAGAGAGAGGGGGCCAGGGGACAGTTCCATCTTGTCTCCTGCATATGTCATCAGTTGGGGACCCCTCCCCCCAGCACCAACTGCCACTCTGGGCCAGAGTGAAGAGTGAGGGGGCCAGGGGACAGTTCCACCTTGTCTCCTGCATATGTCATCAGTTGGGGACCCTTTCCCCCAGCACCAACTGCCACTCTGGGCCAGAGTGAAGAGTGAGGGGGCCAGGGGACAGTTCCACCTTGTCTCCTGCATATGTCATCAGTTGGGGACCCCTTTCCCCCAGCACCAACTGCCACTCTGGGCCAGAGTGAAGAGTGAGGGGGCCAGGGGACAGTTCCACCTTGTCTCCTGCATATGTCATCAGTTGGGGACCCCTCCCCCCAGCACCAACTGCCACTCTGGGCCAGAGTGAAGAGTGAGGGGGCCAGGGGACAGTTCCACCTTGTCTCCTGCATATGTCATCAGTTGGGGACCCTTTCCCCCAGCACCAACTGCCACTCTGGGCCAGAGTGAAGAGTGAGGGGGGCAGGGGACAGTTCCACCTTGTCTCCTGCATATGTCATCAGTTGGGGACCCCTCCCCCAGCACCAACTGCCGCTCTGGGCCAGAGTGAAGAGAGAGGGGGCCAGGGGACGGTTCCACCTTGTCTCCTGCATATGTCATCAGTTGGGGACCCTTTCCCCCAGCACCAACTGCCACTCTGGGCCAGAGTGAAGAGTGAGGGGGCCAGGGGACAGTTCCACCTTGTCTCCTGCATATGTCATCTGCTGGGGACCCTTTCCCCCAGCACCAACTGCCGCTCTGGGCCACAGTGAAGAGAGAGGGGGCCAGGGGATGGTTCCACCTTGTCTCCTGCATATGTCATTGGTTGGGGACCCCTTCCCCCAGCACCTACTGCTGCTCTGGGCCAGAGTGAAGAGAGAGGGGGCCAGGGGAGAGTTCCACCTTGTCTCCTGCATATGTCATCAGTTGGGGACCCTCCCTCCCCCCCGCACCAACTCTGAGTGAAGAGTGAGGGCCAGGGAGACAGTTCCACCTTGTCTCCTGCATATGTCATCACTTGGGGACCTCCCCCCAGCACCAACTGCTGCTCTGGGGCAGAGTGGAGAGTGAGGGGGCCAGGGGACAGTTCCATCTTGTCTCCTGCATATGTCAGTTTGCAGTTTTTAGGTTTTAGCCCCCCCCCCCCGATGATCAAAAGGATCGAGCAGGTGCATAGAAAGGGATATGGTCATGAAGGTAGGCAAGTCCCAAACTGTGCAGGGCTTTGTAGGTAGGCCCGAAGCCAGGATTTTGATTTGGGGGGGAGGCTGAGTTTGATTCGGGGGTAGCTGAGTTTGATTCCATGGGGGGCTGTGTTTGATGAGGGGGGGCTGAGTTTAATTTGGGGGGCTGAGTTTGATTCGGGGGGCTGAGTTTGATTCGGGGGGCTGAGCTTGATTGGGGGGCTGAGTTTGATTTGGGGGGCTGAGTTTGATTGGGGGGCTGAGTTTGATTCGGGGGGAGCTGGGGGGGGGCTGTTTGATTCGGGGGGGGGGGTTTGATTGGGGGGGCTAGTTTGATTTGGGAGGGCTGAGTTTGATTCTGGGGGGCTGAGTTTGATTCTGGTGGGCTGGGTTTGATTCGGAGGGCTGAGTTTGATTCGGGGGGCTGAATTTGATTTGGGGGCTGAGTTTGATTTGGGGGGGCTGAGTTTGATGGGGGGCTAGTTTGATTTGGGAGGGCTGAGTTTGATTCTGGGGGGCTGAGTTTGATTCTGGTGGGCTGGGTTTCAGGGGGCTGAGTTTGATTGGGGGGCTGAGTTTGATTCGGGGGGCTGAGTTTGATTCGGGGGCTGAGTTTGATTTGGGGGCTGAGTTTGATTCAGGGGGGGGAGGGGCTGAGTTTGATTCGGGGGCTGAGTTTGATTCTGGGCTGAGTTTGATTAGGGGGGCCTGAGTTGATTCAGGGGGCTGAGTTTGATTTGGGGTGGGGAGGCGATCCGGGGGGGGGGGGGCTGAGTTTGATTCGGGGGGGAGTTTGATTGGGGGGGCTGATTTTTGATTGGGGGGGGCTGAGTTTGATTGGGGGGCTGAGTTTTATTTGGGGTGGGGGCTGAGTTTGATTTGGGGTAGGAGTTTGATTGGGGGGGCTGAGTTTGATCTGGGGGGGTTGAGTTTAATTCGGGGGGGGGGGAGTTTGATTCCGGGGGGGGTGAGTTTGATTAGGGGGGGCTGAGTTTGACCCGGGGGGCTGAGTTTGATTCGGGGTGGCAAGTTTGATCCGGGGGGGGGGGCTGAGTTTGATTCGGGGGAGGATGAGTTTGATTTGGCATGGGCTGAGTTTTATTTGGGGGGTGGTGGCTGAGTTTGAATCAGGGGGTTGAGTTTCATTTGGGGGGCTGAGTTTGATCCGGGGGGGGGGGCTGAGTTTGATTTGGAGTGGCGAGTTTGATCTGAGGGGGGGCTGAGTTTGATTCGGGGGGGGGGGTGATTGGGGGGGGGGGGCGGAGTCTGAGTGAAAGTAGGGTCTACCCTAGCAAACCTTTTGTATCGTTCCCCCAATAATACCCCCTCCGTGCATATGGAATATATTGAGCATGGTGATCAGATCATGATAGGAATAAACATAACAGTTTGACTAATGTACCAGTAAGGCCTTCTCGCGGACCACCCTGAGAATTTCGGGGGGTGGGAATGAAGCCCCTCAGGCCCCCCCACCTGACTACGGGCCTGTTTGTAGGTGCTAACCTGTGCCTTGAATTGGGCCCAGAAAATAAATGGCAGCCAATGGAGCTGCTTAAACAGATGCAGGACTGAAACGCCCAGCATTCTCTCTGAGGGCTTGGACTGCTGGGATGTCCAGTCCGTTCTCTGGAAGGCTGCATGAGTTCCACTGTCTTTGAGCATCTCTCCAGTTGCGTATTTTCCATCTCCAAGTCCCTCACAAGTGGGTTGCCAATGATCGCCTTCCTCTGGGAATAACTGGGGAATCAAGGAAGGTAATGGCGACAATAATACGGACATGCTGTCCTTGGCTGACCTCCCAGCAAGACCGCTTGGCCGGGAAACCTCTTTCCCTCCCACCTAGGAGAACCTCAGCCCATTTCCAGCCTGACCTTTCCTTAAATAGACCCAGTTGGCTTCCTAGCGTGTTAATTTGAGCATGGATTTGGGGGGTGGGGGTGGGGGGGGTGTATCTTTTTAGTTACTCTCCCAGCCGAGTCAATGAAGATTACATGAGTCTTAATCTTTTCTGAGACGTCTCCTCTTGCATTCTACAGCCATTTACTTTTCATGATTATTGACTCAAATTCTCAATAGCAAATTAAGTCAACAAGAATTTATGTCTCCCTCTTCGTCAGTTTAAGTCAGTGTCGGGCATTTATAGATTTACAATACCTCAAAGCAACAAATCAAAGAGGAACGAGCTCAGCAAAGCGGATGGATCTCCCAATCCGGGGAAAAGGCCATCGCCTCACCTGCAATCACACCAAATTTGGCAACAAAACGTCTCACAACACAAGGAGTGACCATCACTCAAAAAGTTATGATTTTGATATTTGGAAGTTGTAGTTGCTGGGATTTATAGTTCACTTACAATCAATATCTTATATATATAAAAATGCTCTGTGCGTCATGAGTACCTTCAAAACAAAAGAACCAATGAACGAAATCTCACCAAATTTGGCAACAAAACGTCTCACAACACAAGGAGTGACCATCACTCAAAAATTTATGATTTTGATATTTGGAAGTTGTAGTTGCTGGGATTTATAGTTCACCTACAATCAATATCTATACATATAAAAATGCTCTGTGCGTCATGAGTACCTTCAAAACAAAAGAATCAATGAACACAATCACACCAAATTTGGCAACAAAACGTCTCACAACACAAGGAGTGACCATCACTCAAAACATTATGATTTTGTCATTTGGAAGTTGTAGTTGCTGGGATTTCTAGTTCACCTACAATCAAAGAGCATTCTGAACTCCACCAACGATGGAATTGAACCAAACTTGGCACACAGAACTCCCATGACCAACAGAAAATACTGGAAGGTTGGTGGGCATTGACCTTGAGTTTGGGAGTTGTAGTTCACCTACATCCAGAGAGCACTGTGGACTCAAACAATGATGGATCTGGACCAAACTTGGCACAAGCACTCAATATGCCCAAATATGAACACAGATGGAGTTTGGGGGAAATAGACCTTGACATTTGGGAATTGTAGTCACTGGGATTCACAATTCACCTACAATCAAAGAGCATTCTGAACCCCACGAACGGCAGAATTGGGGCAAACTTCCCACACAGAACCCCTCAATAAAAACAGAAAATACCAGAAGAGACTTAAAAGCAGAAACAAAAAATACATTACAATTAAGACAGGAGAGGGTGGGAGGAGGGAGGGAGGAAGGAAGGAAGAGGAAGAAGGAAGAAGGAGGAAGGAGGGAGGAGGAGAGGAAGAAGAAAGAAGAAGAAGAGAAAGACAGAAGAGAAGGAAGGAAGGAGGAAGGAAGGAAGGAAGGAGGAGGGAGGGAGAAGAAAGAGAGAGGAAGGAGAAAGAAAGAAAGAAAGAAAGAGAAGAAAGAAAGAAGGAGGGGAAGGAAGGAAGGGAGGGAGGGAGGGAGGGAGGAGAGGAAGGGGAAAGAAAAGAGAAAGGAGAAGGAGGAGGGAGGGAAGAGAAGAAAGGGGGAAAGGAAGGGAAGAAGGAAGGAAGGAAGGAAGGAAGGAAAGAAGGAGAAGGAAGGAAGGAAGGAAAGGAAAGGAAGAAGGAAGGAAGGAAAGGAAGGAAGAGAAAAAAGGAAGAAGAAAGAAGAAAGAAAGAAAAGAAGGAGGAAGGAGAAGAAGGAAGGAAGGAAAAGGAAGGAGGAGGGAGGAAGAAGAAAGGAAGAAAGAAGGAAAGGAAGAAAGAAAGGGAGGAAGGAAGGAAGGAAGGAAGGAAGGAAGGAAGGAAGGAAGGGAAGGAAGAAGAAGGAAGAAAGAAGAAGAAGAGAAGGAAGAGAAGAAAGGGAGGAAGGAAGGAAGGAAGGAAGGAAGGAAGGAAGGAAGGAATGAGAAAGGAAGAAGGGAGGGGAGGGAGGGGAGAGGGAGGGGAGGGAGGGGAGGAGGGAAGGAGAGGAAGAAAGAAGGGGAAGAAGAAAGAAAGAAAGAAGGGAGGAAGAAGGAAGGAGGAAGGAAGGAAGGAAGGAAGGAAGGAAGGAGGGAGGGAGGGGAGGAGGGAAGGGGGGAGGAGGGAGGAGGAGGAGGAGGGAGGGAGGGAAGGGGGAAGGAAGGAAAGAGGAGAGAAAGAAAGAGAGGAAGGGAGGGAGGGAGGGAGAAAGAGAGGAAGGAAGGAAAGGAGGAAGGAGGGGAGGGGAGGGGAGGGGAGGGAGGACTTACTCTTTAGCACTGGTTAGCCTGTGGTTGGGTATTGGAGAGATGCAGGGTGGAAGCAGGCAGGAAGCATCCTCCAAGCGTTGTTTCTTGTTGTCACCAAACGTGTCCAAACTTTCCGACTGCTTCAGGCACAAGAAGAGCAAACAGACGGTTACAGTTCCATCAAGACGGCATCTCCTCTTCCTGACCTCTCATCCCGCCGTTCTGACCCATTCCCTGCGGAACATACGGAAACCCAGCGCATCTCCCTTGGAGCGGTTTTAACTCCTGTTCGGCCCCAACTGTGTGGACTCCTTGGGTAAGGCCAAGCCAGACTTCCCCGCAGGAAAGTGTAAAATGGAGTGCATCCTTAGAAGCGAGCGGAGGAAGGAATGGCGCACCCAATGTGGTTGGAAGTGTGACGTTCCTCAAAGAATAAGTCTCAGCCTCAACTGGAACTAAGCCGCCTAGTTCTATGCTCCTTAGATGTGAGGGGATGGCCATTGGTTTTCTTTTCCCAGTGCCTGAGAACTGAACTAGACATTTCCTAAGAGGATACTGGTTTGGGGAATGGTCTTCCTCCCATACATAGCTGACTTCCCTTGGGATAATCTATTTGATACTATATACCAACTCCCCCACCACTCTGTCCTCCAGCTCTCCTTCACCAGATTATTATTATTATTATTATTATTATTATTATTATTATTATTATTGTTGTTGTTGTTGTTGTTGAAGAGAAACAACTGGAAAAGCTGACACGATATGAGGATTTAAAGATCGAACTGCCAAGACTCTGGCACAAGCCAGTCAGGGGGTCCCAGTGGGGATCGGCACACTGGGTGCAGTGCCTCAAGACCATGGCCTGCACTTAAGCACAATTGGAGCTGACAAAATTCCCATCTGCCAGCTGCAGAAGGCCACCTCACTGGGATCTGCACGCATTATTTGCCGATACATCACACAGTCCTAGACATTTGGGAAGTGCCCGACATGTGATCCAATACAACAGCCAGCAGAGTGATCTTGTCTGCTCTGGACTCATCTTGTTGTGCTTCTAATAATAATAATAATAATAATAATAATATTTTATTTATTTATTTATTTATTTGCTTTACTTCTATACCGCTTTTCTCAGCCGAAATGGCGACTCAAAGCGGTTTACAAATACAAGTTATCACAACAATATCAAAAGGCAATTAAAATACATTATACATGACATACAAGATCAAAAAAACAATCATTATCATAATCGTAGCGCCTCAGCAACAAATCAGAATCAGAATCCGTAATCATAATCCTTTGTACCATTTCCTATGTTCGATTGTACCATCTTCCTGTATTCAATTGCACTATTTAGCCAAATGCTTGTTCGTAAAGCCAAGTCTTGACCTTCCTCCGGAACGCCAGCAGCAAAGGGGCCTGTCTGATGTCTGCAGGTAGGGCGTTCCACAGCCGAGGGGCCACCACCAAGAAGGCCCTGTCTCTCGTCCCCACCAACCACGCCTGCGATGCGGGCGGGACCGAGAGCAGGGCCTCCCCAGATGATCTTAATGTCCTAGTCAGTTCATAGGAGGAGATGCGTTCGGAGAGGTAAGTAGGGCCGGAACCGTTTAGGGCTTTATAGGCTAAATAATATACTTACTTACTTACTACTATAATATAATATAATATAATATAATATAATATAATATAATATAATATAATATAATAATATTATAATATAATATAATGATTATATTATAATAATAATATTATAATAATATAATATAATATTATATTATAATAATATAATATAATATAGGCTAATAATAATAATAAAGTCTCCAAGCAGCAAAAAACGCAAAGGGAACAAAGGTCAGGCTATTTTTGAAATAATAACAATAGCAATAATAACAATAGCAATAATAATAATAATAATAATAATAATGGATTATCGAAGTTGCAATTCTGGGAAACAACAGGATTCAAGAGAAGCAACTAAAAAAGCTGACATGATATGAGGATTTTGATATGAGTGATCTTGCCTGCTGTGTTTCTAATAATAATAATAATAATAATAATAATAATAATAATAATAATGTTTCTAATAATAATAATAAGCCAGCAGCGCGATCTTGTCTGCTGTGGACTCATCTTGCTGTGTTTCAAATAATAATAATAATAATAATAATAATCATCATCATCATCATCATCAGCCAGTAAAGTGATCTTGTCTGCTGTGGACACATCTTGTTGTGTTTCAAATAATGATGATGATAATAATAACAACAACAACAAATGGCTTTGAATGCTATTGTCCTACTTCTTGGCGGAAAGCGGTTAGACTGGGTGGCCCAAAAGGTCTCTTCCAACACTCTGATTCTATGATTCTATGAATTACCTGGGGAAGCACCCCTTCCTTTCCCTCAAGACTAATGCCTGAAAGCAGCATTGGGCTAGTGGTTGGAGCATTGGGCTATGAGTCTGGAGAATAGCATTGGGATGAGTGAAAACGTCCTGGGTAACCTTAGGCAAGTCACATCTTCTCTGTCACAGGAATCCCTGGGATAGCTTCGTCCGAGGGTCACCCTAAGCCAGAAATGACTTGAAAGCACAAAGCAACGGGAAATGGTCCAGTAGCACAGGTTTTACAATGTATTGCAATGTAATATAGCTGAGTCATGCACTGCTAATGGGCTTCTATTGGAAATGCTGAATCATGCATTGACTGTATATAGAACTTCATTTGGGGAATGTGTTCTGGCCTAGTCCAGGTGATTGTGAATGATGCAATCCTGGGTTTGAGTTAAGTCAATGAGTTGGGAACCAATCGGTGATTGCTATGTGTAAATGAACTGTATATAAGGAAGTCATATACAGTGTATTTCTCTCCTTGTGCTGTGATGTTGTTCGTCGGAGGCTATATGTAATTAAAAGAACCTGTCTGCTAAGACAAGATATAACTGTATGCTGTGGTAAATTTGTAGTGTCATCTAGACTGGGGAAAAGACAGTGGTAAAACTGACAATGGCCGGGCATGTGCTCAAGTGTCTGTAAAAGAGTTCCAGAGTGACTGCAATTTGTGGGAGCAGTTGACTGAAAATACTGTGCAGGAAGAAGCTACTGGAAAGCGCTGAAGTTGTGCAACTGATCTGCTGCTGAATTGTGAAGTTAATCTCAACAGATCCAGCCTACTGGGAGTTGCAAATGGAAAGGAACTGGGTGGATCAAGAGGCAGGATTACCTTGTGCTTCCTCTTGGACTTGGTGGGTGGTTTTTCGGCCGCGAGCGTTGGGGACTCCCGGCACGTCCGCCTGTGCTTGGGGTTGACCTCCCTGGGTTCTGTCTTACCGGGAGGGCTCTCCAAGGTGTCTTGCCCGGGGATGCGGGAGAGCAAGCTCAGGTCGATCTTCACCCAGAGGTATTGGAGCTCCTCAAACTCTTTGAGTGGGGAGAGGGGCTCGCTCTGGACAATGGGCATGGGGGAGAAAAGGGGCTCTTCCAAGTCATTGCTGTGGGGGTCCAGGGAGGCGTTGCTGTTGCTGCTGGCCAAGCTGCTGACACTGAGGAGGTTGCTGCTGGAGTCCTTGGCTTTGGTGTCGGGGCCGCCGCAGGCCTGCGTGGCTTTCACCTGCAGGTTCTCCTCCTGGTCCGTGTTCGAGTCGGATGTGGAGGAATCCGTTTCCACAAACTCCCGAGACTTTGGAATGGTTTTGCTGGGCCCCCGATACTTCTTCTTTTCGAGCGGGGGCCCCGTGGTGGTTCTGGGCTCTTTCCTGGGCGCCGTCTTCCCCGCCGGGACTTTAGTGCGAACTTTGGGCTGCTCGTGGGCTTCTTGCGCTTCCTTCTCTTTGGGGGTGCTGCTGCTGCTGGTGATATTTGGTTTGGGCCAATTGTAGTCTTCGGCACTGGACGTCCGCTCCACTTTTTTGGGTTGTTTTTTCCCAGTAGTCCTTGGGGGGCCGGGCTCATTGTGAGCGGGGGATTTCTGCTTGGAGCTTTTGGCCTCTGCCGGGGCTTTCTGGGCAACGCGGGGCTTGGCCTTCTCTCGGACGGGACTGCGCAGCGCCCGGTCTTTGGAGTCAGCCAGGGGGAAGCTGCTGTTGAGCTTGCCTTTGCTCGGAACGTCGCTCTGAGAGCCGTTCTGGGGCCGAGAGGCGCTCTCGCTGGGGTTCTCATGCTGGTTGGTAATGATGGCCTTGTTGTGGGGATTGACTTTGTTCAGCCATTTATCCAGCTGCCATTTGTTCGCCGAGGGAGGTTCCGGCTGCGGAAGGAAGGAGAAGGAGCCTTTCAAAATGGATCAACCATGGGACCTCACATTGGAGTCACCATCTATATCAATAAAAACGTAATGTTCGTTTGTGGGATTGTCATAACTCAAAAGCCACCAGACAAATTGACACCAAATTTGGACACAAGACACCTAACAACCCAATGTATGTACTTCACTCAAAAATATTGATTTTGTCATTCGGGAGTTGTAGTTGCTGGGATTTATAGTTCACCTACAATCAAAGAGCATTCTGGAATTGAACCAAACTAGGGACACAGTTCTCCCATGACCAACAGAAAATACTGGAAGGGTTTGGTGGGCATTGACCTTGAGTTTTGGAGTTGTAGTTTACCTACATCAAGAGAGCACTGTGGACTCAAACAATGATGGATCTGGACCAAACTCTACACGAATACTCAAAATGCCCAAATGTGAACACTGGTGGAGTTTGGGGAAAATAGAATCCTGACATTTGGGAGTTGTAGTTGCTGGGATTTATAGTTCACCTACAATCACAGAGCATTCTGAACTCCACCAATGATAGAATTGGGCCAAAACTCCTACACTGAACCCCCATGTGGGCCACAGCAATGCGTGGCAGGGGACGGCTAGTCTATATCAATAAAAATGTAATGTTCGTTTGTAGGATTAAAAGAACTCAAAGACCACTGTGCAAATTGACACTAAATTTGGACACATAACACCTATTAGGCCAACAAGTGCCCATCACTCATTAAAACCCTGAAAAACACATTGGAAAAAACTTAAAAAGCAAAACAAAAAACAAAAAACAACCTTGCAATGCATGTGCAAAACCACACACACACACATATGCAAATATAGATATACACATATACGCAAATATATACAAACACATATACACACACAAAACACATATACACAGACCGGGCCACAGCAACGAGTGGCAGGGGATGGCTAGTCTATATAAAGAAAAGCGTAATGTTTGTTTGTGGGATTAACATAACTCAAAAATCACTGGATGAATCGACACGAAATTTGGACACAAGACACCCCTCGGGCCAATGAGTGACCATCACTCATAAAAACACCAAGACACAGAGCACAAGGGACTTAAAAAGCCAAAAAACAAAAATTACAACACATGCACAAAGCCACACACAAACACACACACAGAGATATATATGCAAACACACTTATACACATAATATATACACACACATCTATACCTCCGGCGTTCCACTGCGTGACTCTTCGTTGCACTCGCTGTCACTGGAGCTGGTCTCGCTGTCCGAATCCGACTCGGAACTGCTTTCAGATTCACTGGAGCTTCCGGAGCCTCCACTGGAATGTATTAAGACGGTGCTGTGTGGTGTCGGCAACGCAAGGCCACTGCAAACAACACGTGGAGAGAAAAAGAGGAGGAAGAAAAGAAAGAAAGATCGAGACGGGTGTTAATGTTTCACAACCAGACACCTTTCCGCCCATTCCTCCATCCTGGCTGATTGAATGGCCATGGTAGGTTCGGGATCTTGAAAGTGAATTGTTCACCCAGCTGTGGGTCACACTGGATAATATTGAGCGGAACCTATTTCCACCTCAGTGTTGTGACTCAGATGGGGTCTCAGAGTGACTCTGATGAGGATGATGGGATTCAGGTTCACCATCAGGTTCAAAATGTTCCTGTTGTAGACAATGAGGAACAGGGTGTGCAAGTTCAGTCTCCCTCAGCAGGGAAGGATGTTTCTGATACTGAAACTAGCCAGGTGCAAATGGACTCAGAACAGGAGGACAGTTCTCAGCCTCATAATGAGCAGGAAGGCAACCAGGCTAACACTAATGAGCAGCCTGACCTTGATGAAACGGGAACCTTAGATCGGGCTGACCGTATGGAATTCAGATGTTGCAGCCCAGAGCAGGATATGAGGCCCTAAGATAACCATCCACCACACTTGACTGGGAAAAAACAATCCTTTTTATTGATGAAAATGGTTACAAAATAAAGGAAAAATGCAAAGTCAAAAGCCACAGCAAAATCAGCAAACATGACTGTCCATGAACAAGATCAAAAACCCAAAGCCACACTGTAAAATACTGGAACCTGTTAGCAATCCACTAACCGTACTTGGTGTCCTAGAAATCTCTCAAGACGATGGCCAGAGGAACCAGGAGAACTGCCAAGGTCTTCATCAATCTAAAACGATGCCTGAATTGAGAAAATCAGCCCGGCGGAAGGCACTTAAAGCCGAGGAATTGGTTTCGTGAAACACTTCCCTGCTTTGAAGCCCTTGTTTGTTTTTCTTTTTATCTGGAAGACCTTTGCAAGCTGAGTGATTTACTTCTGTCTTGCCAGATCTGGCCCCTTCTATTGTCATTAAGGTTCCCAGGTGCAGAAGGGAGTGAAAGGTCATGGCTTCCCTCTGAAACATTCTCATGAACACTGGTACTTTCATTTTCCAAATCTAAAGAAGTTTCTTCCTCACTAATTTCAGGAGCATTGTCACTCATTTCAGGATCATTGACATCAAGAAGTACATTTTCATTAGCATCAGGAAGTACATTTTCATTAGCATCAGGAAGTACATTTTCATTAGCATCAGTAAATATATTTTCATTAGCATCAGGAGGTACAAACAGAGAATCAGGTTCAAACTCAGGCTGAACCCCAACACCAGAGTTCGAAGGAGTGTGAGAATAGCTAACAAGAAGGAGGTCAGAGGCCAAAGAAATGCTTTCATGTGTTGCAAAGGGTATTAAGCAGTGTGTTTGTCAGAGCAACGTTTCGCTCAACTGAGCAGCTTGTGCTCGTTTGCCTGGATTATCTTGCAGTTCTTGTGCCCATGGTCTCGGGACTTTGTCATGTTCTCATGGGATATTGTTTTGTTGGTGTCTCTTGGAATCCTGCTTTACAGTGCTATGTTTTATTGCTCTTTTGGAACATTACTTCCTTTCAAGAACTTTTTATCTTTTACTTTTCAATAAACTACAAAGACTGGGTTGGTGTAGGTTTTTTCAGGCTGTATGGCCATGGTCTAGAGGCATTGGCCATATAGCCCGAAAAAACCTACAACAACCCAGTGATTCTGGCCATGAAAGCCTTCGACAATTACAAAGACTTCAGTCTGTGTGCAGTTTTGGTGATTTCAGCAAGGTGAATCTACTGAGGTAGATTTCCTCCCACAATGGGACTTCCTCAGCGATCGGGGCTTCAGCAACCAGGCTTGCAAATTAAACCTGAGTTAACCTTCTGAAGATCAACTGCAAATCATGTTAAATGCAAAGTTCTTGTGTGAGGAAAAATATGGGCCTTGGAAAACAAGCTTTTTTTTTTGCATGCGAGGAAGTACCTCTGAAGACTGCCCAGAAGCTACAATTAGTCCAACGATCGGCAGCCAAGTTGCTTATGGGAGCGGGTTACAGGGAGCACACAACTCCCTTGTTACACCAGCTCCACCGGCTGCCAATCAGCACGACTCAAAGTGCTGGTTTTAACCTACAAAACCCTACATGGTTCCGGCCCAGTTTTCCTGTCCAAACGCATCTCTTCCTATAAACCTTCTAGGATGTTAAGATCTTCCGGAGAGGCCCTGTTCTTGGTCCCACCACTTTCGCAGTCGCGCTTGGTGGGGACGAGAGACAGGGTCTTCTCTGTGGTGGCCCCCCGGCTATGGAACTCTCCCCTTGGTGAGATTAGGTCTGCCCCTCCCTCCTGTCCTTCAGGAAGCAGTTAAAATCCTGGCATTCGCAGATTGATGGATGACCCGATACAAAAACTGGCACACAGGACTCCCGTGACCAACAGAAAATACCCTCTGACACCTCCCGACCCCCCATGTTGAGAAACGCTGTCTTAGAGGTTTTAAAGCAGTGGTTCTCCACCTTCCTAATGCTGCGACCCCTTAATACAGTTCCTCATGTTGTGGTGACCCCCAATTATAACGTCATTTCCATTGTTGTTGTTCATTCGTTCAGTCGTCTCCGACTCTTCGTGACCTCATGGACCAGCCTACGCCAGAGC